AGGAGATGATGGAAAATTGGTCCTTTCCTTCAAGGCTTACGAGGTTACAATAAAAAGTACTTTTTATACATTATTGATGTTAAAATACCATTCACCTCTGCCTGTTTTCAGGTGAATTGGTTTGAGATGCAGCCTGGGCTGACTGCTTGGATAGCAGCACACACCTGCTGTGAGGAACAGCACCAGACAGGCAGCTTGGCCCTTGCCTGACTCCAGGAGAGCTCTGATCACATTTGATTCTTTTTAAAAACCAGCCAGCTTCTGTCTATCCAGGCAGCCCACAAAACTATCGGTCTCTCCAGCCTGGTCTTGTCTGTGTTGCTTCAGGGAGTAGGCTCAGTTTCCCAGGGAACAGCTTCTCCCACCTGGTTTGAAGAGAAAGATTTGGAAAATGCTGGGGTTTTTTTCCAAAAGGGGGAAAACCTGATGTTTAACTTCAAAAAGGGAAAATTGATTGGGACGTATAAATTTTAGTTCTGCCTGCTCTACCCCAGGTAATCCAACATAAAATAAATGTGTATGCAGTGTGCAGGCAGATGTGCTCCTTGTGTGAGGACTCAGTTCCCTCCTGGAAGGTGCTGACCCTGTGCACTCCAGCAGTTTCAGGACCTTGCAGGCTGGAGCACTTGCCTCTTGTACAGTGCATCTGTCTGTGGAAGGCACAGACATCACAGCTCGAGCACAAAAGTCACCCAGAAAATATTCCAACAAAATATTTCTCTCAGCTCAGAAGGGTTTAAGTTGTTTTACAAGTCCCTGTAGATGAATATTACTTTCTCCTCAAGTGATCATTCCAGAAGGTTGGAGGACTATTCATTGAGGCTAAACATAGATGGGGAATATTGAAAAAGGATAATTAGCCTCATTTTTGCCCCCCTTGGTCTGTGATTCCCCAGAGCTAACAACATTAAGATTGTGTGGAAAGTTTTGTAACTGTGTCAGGTCTAAACTGGGGCAGATTTCCCGAGGGAGGGCTGTGTCCTGAGTATGAGGGGTAAAGAGCTGGCGTTTTTCAGAGCTTCCACTCTTGCTCTGCCTTTCCCAGCAGGAAGGTCAGGGAAGATGGTAACCTTGCACTGCTGTGATTAAGGATTTTAATTCTCTTCTCTGCTCCAAATCCCCTTATACCAAAATACCACCGTGTGCTTTCTCAGCCTGATGTGCACCAGGTGTTTGGTTAGGAGAGTGTAGCTGTGCTGAGCCACCTGGGGGTAAGTTGGAGGGATTTTGGCACTTGGAATGCATAAAGTTGCTATTACACAGCAGACTACAGATAGAGCCTGCAAGCCTTCTTGATGTGCCTGTTTGTCTTTCCCAGCTTCCTCTGTCTTGCCTCTGGGGCCCTGCCTCCATTTCCCCTCTGTGTAAGGATGAAGCTCTGCTGATGCACTCCCCGAGGGCTTGCAGGGCACCTTGCTCAGTGCTGAGCTGGGCACTGCTGACACAAGGCAGCCTTGGCATCCCCCTGGGAGTTCTGCTTCTGGCAAGCAGGACTGGATTCAGCAGTGCTGGAGTGGAAGCACCTGAGCACTGCCCTGGGGCAAGTCCTGGGCTGTGGGTGTTGTGCTGTGCCATGGTGGGATGGACTGGGACTCTCCTCTTCACCCCTGGTGCAACACCAGAGTGCAGAAGGCAAGCTGGTGTATTAGACTCACTGCCACTGAACTGAAGCATGAAAATTTGAGTCGAAGCCCCTTTTGAGCACAGTGCTCATTCCTGTATTGCTCCTTCCTTGTAGGTGCCTCTGTGGCTAAGGGGACTGCTGGGAGCACATCAAGCACTTGTTCTGAAATTCATATGCTGCAGTTCAGTACTGTGGGTGCTCTGTGGAACAGCACCTGGGACAGCCTGGGACTCTGTGTCGTCTTGGTGGGGTTTGGTGCCCAGTGTATGTAACTGGGGCATTTTCCATGCATGTAGGTTGCAGCATTTCAGTTGGTAAATGTAAAAGGAATGGTGGTGATACCCACTGCTGGGCACCAAAACAACAGGGTGGGTGTGGGAATGCCTAAATGCTTGGGTGCCACTTTGAGCTCAGTTCAGAGATGAAGGGTCCTAAGGAGGACACTTGTAAGTACTTGAGGCACTTAGTGATATAGTTTCTAGCATGTTTTCCTTATAATAACTTCGAAATATGAAGACATTTCTATTTTACAGTAGCACATCACCTTGTATGCTAGCATTATTTGTGCTACCAGGCTCCAGTGGGGTCAAAAAAAATTAATAATTGTTCTGTGTTTTAGAAGTCTCATTATGCAATTTAATAGCAGAGCAGTCTAATGAAATCTCTGCGGGACAGTGATGAGAGTGAGGGGTTTTGTGTGTGAATTACAGGGACTGCAAGTGGGCCAGACAGTAGCTACTTGTTTTATTGCTGACAATATACTTATTTTCATGTTTATTCCTGGATTACAATGTGTGAATAGCATCCTAATAAACAGTCAGGCAAATAGTTATTTATCAAGTATTTAAAAGTGAAAGGTCTTGCAATTTTCCTTAGTAATGACTGTGATTTCTTCCAGCTGGATTAATGACTCCCATTTCTCCCCATGAAGAACAAGAAGTGTTTTGGTTTCTACATGGAGAGAGTTATTGTCTCCCATAATAATGTAGAACAGAGGATTTCTTTTTCCTTCCTGGCCTGGGATCTGGGAAAGGTTGAAATGTGCATAACCTGAATTAATACCTTGTAAAGCTTTTAAATCTCTTTCGTCATTCCTGTTGGAGTGGGGCAGGACTTGCTGCTGGCATCAGCCCAGCAGCAGCCTGCCTCAGAGAAGCTTTTGTTTCAGTTTATGAGGCAATCAGTGGGTCTTGTGATGGAATTGCCTTGAAAGGTCACTTTTAATTACATTTCTGTCGCATTCCTCTGTCCCCAGCTGTGCAGTCCTGATGGAACAGGTTGCACTGAGCTTTACAGCTGAATTTCTGCAGCAGACAACCCCAAAATGTATCCTAGAGCAGCTGCTGGCAGGCCAAAGGGAGCAAAGAAAATTGAACCAAGTGTCCTACTCTGTGCCCAACCATTGCTGGCCCTGAGGTGTGGTGGAGGATGAGAGTATGGAAGCACAAGTAAACCGTAGGTAGCAACCTGTCTTGTGCCCCTGGCTGGCTGAAGTGTGTGTCATTGGAGGCCTGTGCCAGCCCCTCCCTGAGCAGCATTCTGAGGGGTTTCTCCTTTCTCAGCAGGGGACAGAGCTGGCTGTTCAGATGCTGCATTTGAAAATAAATAGACTGTGTGATTGTATTGATCTGAACTCAGCCCTCATAGTTGGGGGGGGAGTCCTGCCTTATTGCTGCATGAAAACACCAAGCTTACATACCAGAGGAAATCCATGGCCATGGATTTGACTGCTGTATGACTGCTGCCTGATGGACCACTGTTGCTGAGAGGGCTGTGGCTCCATGGTGTATTTGGGGTGTTCTAAATTGTGATGATGCTGTAGCAAGGCTTTTGTTTCTTCCTGAACCGCTTTTCCCCTTTTCCCACCCCACTGCTTACCAATCTGATCAGCAAACACTTCTAAATATTCATAGTGTGGGATTTGTCTCTATCCACATGACTGCTGCTGGTTTGAAAGGCATGTGACAATGTGGGGGCAAACGGGGTTAATCTCCTCCTGTGCTGGCAGAACAAGGCTGAGCAGGAGTTGTACAGCACAGGAGTTTATTCTTGCCCCTTTTCCTCTGTATTTGCAGTCTCTGGAGAAGGAGGAAGAAAGTTTCAGATATTGATTCACTGTCAGGATGGAGACATGGTTGTACTAGTTGTGTGCAGGTTTGATTTCAGGACGTCAGTGCCTCCAGGTTTAACAAATAACTGTGTTGCTTTCCTTGATGCCAACCCAGCAGTAACCCATTTGGGGCTGCACCTCACTGGGTTTCTCCATGTCCATCAGCCAGTTCTTATATGGGAGTTGCAGGGTCAGGTTGGTGGGTAGGAGGCAAGCAGTGATTAAGCCTGGCTTGTAACCAGAGCAGATCCCATGACCAGTGAGTGAGGCTTTCAGCCTCTCCTCTGCATTTGCTCTAGACCAGGGATGAGCCTCCCCACCCTTGCTGGAGCAGATGCAGCCAGAGGCCCAGGCTGCCAGGGAGTGGGATGGAGGATCACATCTTTGGGCTCACTGAGCTGTGGGTCAGGCTGCCTTTGTGCCCACAGGGCTCTGGAGAGACTCACAGGCTTGTGGTCCAAGGGAGCAGAATTGTTAGCTTGGCAAGTTGAGGCGTTTCATTAAGAGCTACTGAGAGCGTGAAAAGTGTGCTGCTGGAGGCAGGTCATGGTAAATGAGGGGGCTAAAGTAGCTGGGGTTTTCTAACAATTAATCATTGAGTGGTTTTCTAGAGATTCTTTCTCATGTTTGAAATTCATTCCCCGCTGTAGATGCCATATTGACTTATAATTTTTTGAAGTTCAATATTTTGCACCCTCGGGGCCTCAAACAAAAATTAACTAGAAAATGAGAGTGAATTTCTGCGTTCTGCCTTGTCAGAGCCTTCTCTCCCGTTCCCCGTGCCTGGAGCCAGTTTCTGTGCTCGGGTTTGGGTTGCAGATGTTGCCAAGGCTGTGTGCCGTGGGCTGTGAGACGTGGGTGGCTGAAGAGCTGCCTCACTGACCAACAACTGAGGAAATCAAGAGCCCAATTAAGAGCCTGGAATTGCCCCCAGTGACCTGAGGAGAGCATTTAGTAGCTGCTAGTGAGAAAGGCCTGCTTGAATGAATAAGAATTCCTGTTGTTGGAAGAAAAAAAGTCCCCTCCTCCCCCAGCTCTAATTAGCTCCTCTTTTTCTTTTTTCTGCCATGAATATAAGGGGTTTGTCACTGGAATGAAATCTTAAAAAGATGCATGTTCTTCAGCTTGCAACTGATGGAGGTGATCTCTGTGCAGGGGCTGTGGAGACTCTCGTACCTGTTTTCTGTGTTTCCTTGCTGGATCTGTGGTTTTGCTGTTGAGTACAACTCTTCCTTACCCTCTGCTTTGTCTCTTTTCCTCCAACAGAGTGACTAAAGAAGTGGACTCAAACTCAAAGGAAGCTAAATCTTTTCTGAAGCAGCAAGAGAAACTGCAGTCAGCAGCTCCAGCTTCCCTCCCGACAGTCTCGGGGTGAGTGTGTGGTTTCCTTGCCCAGGTGTAGAGCCTCAGTGAGAAAGATGGCACTCGAGCCAATAATACAGGCTCTGCAGTATTCAGTGGGTGTTTGTTTCCTGCAGAGTTTCAGTGGGAGCAAGACTAGGCCTGGAAGGTGTGATGATTTGGGAAGGAGGTGGGGGAAGCAACCCATGAGTTCCAGTGACTCACTTCATGCGTTCAGGCTCACATTTCTCAATCCTCATAAGTCATTCATCCCAGTAAGGAAACAGTGGTTCAAATGTCTTGAGCAGCCTGATGAAAGTGCAGGTAGCCAAGGAACATGCCTGGGATTGCCTGCAGTTCCTTTGAGAGATGCTTCTCAGGACTATAAAAAGCCATGACAGGCTGGGCTGTGGCTTCTTACAAACTTTGGGTGAGCATTTAAATGTGAGATGGTTTTGCCTCTTTGATGTTCTCTAATATGATTTTGTTGTGGATTTGTCACTTTCTGTTCAAGCTCTAACACCTAATTCTGAGATTATCATAATGCTTGCCACAGATACAAAGAGGTTGGGCCCCCTGTGCATCTGACGTGCCACTCTGGTTCTTGATGAGCTTGGGAGATCACCCACTTCTTAGGAATAGAGGAGAGGCTTCTGTGTTCCAGTGGTGATTTTTATTTAAGTCAGTTGTTTGCAGACTTAAGCTGCCTATGATTTGGTCACATAGAAACAATACCCATCAAATAAATACATTGTCCTTCCCATCTGCTGTAGAGCAATTCTGCAGTGTGAGTTAAGGCTGCCTTTCCTCGAGATAGTTATTCAGTTGCTGCAGCTGGATTGTCACTCATTTTTCCAGCTAAGTGTTGCATAGCTTATAGTTAGCTCAGGGTAGTGAAAGCACAGTGTGTGTGTGCGTGACCCTTGACAGCTGCTGTTCCCTGAGCTGAATGAAGGCATAGATGAACATAGTCTTCATGCTGTTGTTCACACTGCACAAGGGTTTGTCCCTGCAGAGCTCATTAATTGTAACCTAAGTGCTGTGTGCAGGGTTTTGTGCTGGAAGACTTGCTGTGGGTTGGGCTGGCATTCTTTGTTCAGTTTTGGTGGCCAGAGGTGGTTCGGGTGGCAGCTGAAGCTGAGGCAGCTTCTTGCTGTGCACAATGCTGGTGGTCCCATGTCTTCAAACCTGCCTTCCAGTTTCCCCAGCAAATGCTCTGCTGCTCCAAGTGCAGGCAGGTTTGGCAGCCCACAGGGAAAGCTCCATGGGCTGTTCACCTTCCTGCTCTGCTGAGATCCATGTTTCCTCCTGTGTCTTAAAGGCCTGGGGGGGAGCTGGGTGGCCAGTGGGCCTGCACAGCCTGGCCATTACCAAGGGGCATGGCTGCTTGTGCTGGAGCTTGGATTGCTCAGGAGCAATAGCCAGAGCCCAGTTTGAGTTAATGCTGCAGATAACTGAAGAATCCACATCAAATATGGAAAAAACAGGAGTAAAAATCAATATAAGAAATAACAAGTTCAAGGAGTCCTTTAACTTTCATCTAGTGTGATTATTTTGGAAGCAGCTTAATTAGGTCATTGTTCAGCTTGCTGATGTGTGATGCCCTGCTGATAGTTGCTTACCCAGAACATGAGGTGACCTGGCCATGGGGAAGGGAGGGGAAAAATCCCCTGGGCTTGTATATCTTGCCTTTCTTCAGAGCAGCAAACCCTGATACAGCACAGAGGTATTTTGGTCAATGTGTGGAACAGCCCAGCATTCTTGATTCTTGATAGTGTGTGCCCTGTGGTCTGAGAGCACTCCAGGGAGTTTGCTACCTTGGGATAGTATCTGAGACTGATCCCTGAGACTGCCAGCAAACATGCTTGCTTTGGGCTTAGGAGGGTGCTTCCAGCTGGGAAAGCAGCCAGGGTATTTTCAGGTGAGAAAATTACTAGCAGGCTTGCGGTGTTCCTTAAAGCCAGAGGCAAGCCCCTTATGTTAAGAAAATTACAAAGGTCAGGTTTTAGACTTGAGCCAAGCTATTATCCAGGCCCTGCTGCCCTGGAGCAAAGAGCCACAAGCCTCTGTGGCATGCCAGAGCAGTGCTTGGGGACTGACAGCCTGGCATAGCTTGACAGTTCTTTGCAAGTGCCCTTTGGCTACTTAAAATAGAAGTTTTGTGGGAGAGGGTGCATTTCTCCCTTGTGCATTACAGGAGAGCCCCAGTCTGGGGCAGTATCGCTGTAAGGCAGTGAAAACTGTGTGATTTTGGGATCCTCACTGTGCCTGTGGACACCCACTGTGCTGTGAGCCATTGTCAGCCCCCAGGAGCTTTGTCAGCTATTTAAAAAAAAAGCGTTGCCCTGTGTGCAGGGAATTCGAGCAGCTAAGAGGGGCCTCTCCATCTGGCTTTTCTTTCTTCACCTTGCAGGCAGCATGCATTATTTCTGGATGCAGCCAGCCTACCTTGCATTTATTTAATTTCCCTTCTCTAAACAGACAGAAGTAATCCAGGGAAGTAACGGTCACAAAACCAAACATCCGGCTCCACATCTCTGTGTCACAAACCCTTACAGCCTTACTGGTCCAGGGGAGGGGATGTTTGGGGCTGAAAGTGCATTTCCTGAATGTGTTTAACATCCATACCGGATGTGCTATAAAAAGCTAAATTTGTGCTTGTGAGGGACATGGGGGTGGTTGGAGGAGAATAACTTAAACACTTGGCTGTAATTAAAGCCAGGAGTACAAAACAACCCACCCAGTTCTCTCAGCAGGCTTTGCTAGAAAGGTCAGAAGCCCTTGGTTCCCAGGGATGTGATGGTTTCCCAGCCTTCACATTATTCCATCGTGTCCCCCCGTGACACCCAGCTAGGCAATGTTCTGTGGGCAGTGGGTATTGGTTTACTGCAGAGGTTTGGGGTTGTGATACTCTGTTCCAGTTGTTTCTGTTGTGTTCTTGGTTTGTGTTTGGCTCTCACTGATGCCATCAGGGTATCAGATGTGATAAGGAAACCCACTGATTCCTTCTCATTTGCTGTCCCAATAAATGGGTGGAAGGCTCCCAGCATTCAAAAAAAGCCCTCCACCCACCCAGCTAAGCCTTCTTGCCTGTTTGTGTTTTAGGGCTCATTTCCCATCCTTAACCACTGCTGTAGGGCCTTTTGGGGACAGCAAGAGTAACTCCTGGCTGTAAACCTGACAGAGGGATCAGTCAGCTTGGTGGGCAGTCCTGGTGCTCCCAGAGCTGCTTTCTGTCCCCTCCCCAGGCCAGGCAGGACCCGTGAGCTGAGTCCCTCATCCTCTGCACTAGTAATCCCATTTTGCAACCAGCATTTCATATTCAAAGGCTGTTAAAGCAAATGAAATCCTCCAAGAGGCTTATTGCAAAATGACTGTGTGCATGTACTTGTGGGACACAACGGGGGGTTGAGCAGGGGCCGGGAGAGCCCTGCTCCGACCGGAGCCCTTCGGTGGGAGCGGCTGCGACGTGCCCGTCAGTCCCGGGCGCTTGTCAGGGCACAGCGGTGTTCCAAAGGGAACAGTGCTGCTGTAGCAGTCCTGAAAATGAAAAAGATGTACTTGGTGGATCTTATTTGAGATTCTCCTCTAGGCAGCTGTTTCTACACGGCCTGAACAGGAGCCAGGAAGAAAAAGAGGTTTTTCACCAGCTTTGTTCTTGCTGTTGCTTATTACCGAAACCATTTGTAATTAAACATGGACTTGCTCACTCAACCCAGCTGTTGCTTTTCTGTTTGATCCTGCCTGAAATTACAGTGGTGGATGTGTGACCTCCTAGGCCTTTTCATGCCTTGTAGGCTGGTATAAACACAGGGTACAATTTGCCTTTGAAGCAGGCAGCACCGCTCCCACGGAGTTCAGGAGCTGCTGTGCTTGCTGACCCTGGGGCTGAGTTGGGTCTGCAAGCGTTTGGACCTTGGTACAAGACCCAGCAGGAAGAGGCACTGCAGGAAAGCTCTGACCCAAACACACAAAGTTGCCCTGAACAAAGAAAACCAGATAAATTCTAGCCTGTTCATCATGGACACCTTCCTCCCCGAGCATACAGTAGAGCAGTTCACATGGACTGACCATTAAATGGTGTGAAAAGCTTCAGGCCTTTGCTTTACTCTGCTGTTAATGTTGGAGTAGAGGGACTCCAGCAGCAAGACGTGTTCATGTCTTCTCTCTGACCTTCAATGTGCAGGAGGACGTATGATGGCATTCTTTGTGGGAGGATAGGGATTGTAGCAGAACCTGGAATATGTCTGCAGCATCCTCTTAACTGTAGTTTCTAAGCTAGCCTTCCTCTCCAGCCTGGCTTCTCTTAGGAGCTACTTTGCACCCAAAGCTTTATCTTGCAAAAGATATTCTTTCTGTGTGAGTTGGCTGGATCTAATTGGATCCCTTTGCTGTCATGACCAGATCTGGTCACTGGTGAGGCAGGCACAGGGTCTCAGCTCCTGGAATCCTCAGATGATCCAGAGCAAGTGCTGCAGCACTCACATGCCTCCAAGGAGCAATTTCATTTCACAGCAATCCCACGGGCTTTTTCTCTTCAGAAAGCAGAAATTGAGTCCAATTTCAGCTCGGCATCAACTGCAGTTATTTAGCTACAACTCTTGCATGTTTTTCTTGTACAGGCTGAGCAAGGATGCAAATAAAGCAGTAATCAAGACCTTTGGGGGAGCTGGAAGTGGGTTTTTTTTCAACTGTCACTTAAGCACTTGAATAGCTCTGTTCTTCCTAGTGAATTCAAGGCTTCTCATCTTTCTCCTGCTCTTCCCTTACTGTGCTCCAGAGAGTGCTGTTCTCCCAGATGGAGAGATCCAGCCCCTTGCACTGTAGCCAAACGCCTGGATGTAGTAGCACATGACATATTTTTCTGTGAACAAGATGAACCAGCTAGGGGCAATATTCCTGTGCCCTAGAGCTAGTTTTACTTATTTCCTATTCATGCACTTCAGTTGTGAAAGATTAAATGTGGCAGTAGCTGTTCCAAGTGAATAATTTCTCTTCAGGTCTTAGATCCTTTGTTGTTATTATTTTTG